ACTGAAACCTTTGCAAAGTTCAGTGACCATGTGAATTTTTTTTACAAAGTTTAGTGATGAATGTAGTGATTTTTAAAGTTTAGTGACCCCGTATAAACCTTTTGTAAAGTTCAGTGATGACTTGGGTAATTTTTAAAGTTCAGTGACTATGTGAAAACTTTTTGCAAAGTTCAGTGACTATTTGGGTTATTAACCCGACAATTTAATGGTTTTTATGTGCCAATTTTGATGGAAGAAATCAAATCTTGACATCATTCTTTCAGTTCTCAAATAAGCAATGGCTTTTCCCAACTGGTGATTGGAATTTTTATGGAATTAATTGTCATCTATCATGCTAATACGGAATTGGATGTTGGAATTATGGAAAATTATATTCATTGGAATTGAGTGTGAAATATATCACTAATTGATACCTATTATTTTCAATATACATTTTTCTTCTTTCAACCACATATTTTTCAATAAAATAATATTACAAACAAACTCAAAACTTTCTTATTTTTTAACTATGTATTCTTCATCAATCTACTACTTCAAAATGCTTTTTTACAATAAAATGAGGCTCAAACAAGTTTTATAAACATACATTATTTTCTATTGTTTTAGCAAAAGAGGGAAATTTTGCCTATTGGAATTTGGAATTCATTATGTTTTTGTTGTTGAAATATATAATATCCTGTTTGATGCACATTATTCTCCAACGAATGCATTTTAAATAGTGATTTGATGGAAATATGTAGTTAAAAAATAAATTTTTTTTTTGGATTTGAATATTATTTTATTGAAAAATGTGTGATTGAAAATAAGATAGCAAAAAAAATACATTTTTAGAAGAATGAGTATCAAACATGGTGTAATTATATTTTGTAATAGCTATTGAGAGGTTTTCTAAATAGAAATTTGTATTTGACATTATTGAGGATGATATATCTGACAATATTGATAACAATGTGATTATATAACGTTTTCAAGGTATGAAATGCGTCGACGAATAATGTAGCAATGTATTGATCTATTTTCATTAATTTTATATTGCTTTAAAAATTCTTTTTGTAACTTAATTTTTAAACCCCATAATAAAATAAATGTCTTACTTCACCACTCAACATGTATAATATAAATTAACAGCCCTGCAAGGTGGAATTGGTTTTGTTGCAAG